TCTTTTTAATGACCATTTTTCGGAGACCATTTTTTAGTTTAAATAACAACACTCTAGCAAATGTGTGATATGCTAATTCCAGGAACTTTATCAACTTTGTACCTGTTTAAAATAGTGTCATTTAGGTGCAACAATAGCACAAATGATGAGAAAGGAATACTATTTATTTTAAAGTATATTTCAAAGAATGTTTGAAAAGAATAAAATATTTTTAGACAGTATTTTTAAAAGAATAAAATATTTTCAAAAACTTCATTTTGCCTTGATATTCAAGATTCGAGGTGGCTTAGAAAAATGAGTGGTGAGAACAAAGGATAAAAGAGCAAAAGCCAGGTAACCAGAGTGAATAATGTTGGAATTAAGTCAGAAAATTTAGCCTAAGTAAAGCTGTTAGCTCTTTGCAGCAGTCCTGATCAGAAAGGAAATTTGGTGGGTTATAATTTACAAAGCTCTCTTTAATAAAAAGATAACTTGTCAATTAGGAGAGCAAACCTTGCTTTAATGTTGACTTTAAAGAAATGTATTGGCCATCTAATAAAGGACATTGAATAACACTTGTATGATGATTTGAAAGAAGTTTTCTAAAACTCTAGAATTGTTCTTAATATGGCCATTTTAACATAAGCACTTTTAAAGAAAAAGTAAAATTGACAGGTGAGCTAAATTTCTGGTGATGCCTGGTGATATGCCTATATTGAGAAACTCGAGAAGATGTAAATATTTTTTAGGCTAGCTTTTTTTTTTTTTTTTTTAAGATGATGTCTCACTTTGTCTCCCAGGCTAGAGTGCAGTGGTATGATCATGGCCCACTGCAGCCTTGAACTCCTGGGCTGAAGTGATCCTGCCACCTCAGCCTCCCAGGTAGCTGTGATGGGACCATAGGCGTGCATCACTATGCCCAGCTAATTGTTTGTTTGTTTTTGAAACAAAGTCTCACTGTGTTGCCCAGGCTGGTTTCAAACTCCTGGGCTTAAATGATCCTTCCCTCTTGGCTTCCTGGCATGTTGGGGTTACAGACGTGAGCCAAGGCTCTGGCCACACTAGTTCTCTCGACTGCCAGTTGTCTTCTGTCTTCTCTGGTTGGGAGAGAGGTTGTAGATAACCCTGTTTACAGATTAGAACCACCTGAGCTTTTCATGAGACTGTTGCACTGCTTTGGAGAAGAGGCCTGTCGTAACTGGAAAGGAGCATAAAGAGGTCTGTGGAACGCTAGTGATGTTCTGATTCTTGAGCCAAGCACTGGCTGCACAGGTGTATTCAGTTTAACAAACAATGGACATAAGGGCCGTACACCTAAGACAAGTAACCCTTTTCTATACGTATATTATACTTTAGTCCCCTCAGTTATCTGAAGTAGCTCCTGAGCATGACTGTTTTGTAAAAGTGCTCCATTTTTTTTCTCATGTGCTACCAAGAGTTAGGAACTTTGTTACAGGTACTTAAAAATCACTGACAAGTAACTTAAATGCATATAACAAGTCATTTACTAAATACAGGTACTCTGTAGTTGACCAAAAGGAAACCCAAATGTTTTAAGTACCACAGATGAAGGTAGGAAATTCTTGGTGTCAGGTCCCAGGGTCCGGATGCAGCCCTTGCTGAAGTCCAGTGCGAGTGGGTGGATGAGCAGAAAGAACACTTGGGGGCATAGGCAGGTGAATATGATTTTATTAATCAGCAGCTCTTACTAGCAACTTTCTTATATTAGCTCTTTCACACTGTGCACCTTTACGTGAGCTGTCTGCTCTGGCTCTGTGGCTTCCGCCACCCACATACCTACAGCCACACGGCTGGCTCTCCCCTGCCTTCAGGGTCAGCAGCTTAACTCTTTCCCTCTCCGGGCATGAGCAAGCTGAGCTGTGTCCTAGCTCCCACCTGTCTGGCTACAAGATGGACAGCTTTGGCTCTTTCTCTCTGGACGCCAGTGCTGCCACCATGTCAAGCCATGTTGAGCCAAGCTGAGCCCCAAGAGCCCCTGTACAGTGTTAGCAGAGCAATTACGCCTTTTGCAGACAATAGTGGCATAGAGCCAAGTATGAGCTTACACAAACAGGTTTTATAACAAGTGGGGCATGTGCCTGCACCCTAAACTTGCTGAGTCATGCAGGCCTGGATGTCCGCGACAGCCTATGTCTTGACCATAACTTATTACCTTAAACTTGGTAATAAGAATTTAAAGACTATGACGTGTCTCCTTCACTGTGGAAAAGACACTTCTCATGTTTGCTTGAAGGCAGAGCCAGTTTTTGTCTATTTGAGGGTAGAACCAGCAACAACTTTGCTTGTGCTTTTGAACAAGTTACCAAGCAAAGTGAATACAAACTAAAAGTTTGGAAGAAATTATTTTGGCAGAGATTTAAGGAGGAAAAGAGATACAAGTTTTCTGTGTTTACTAATAAAGGCATGTTAGTACTGTAAATGGAAAAATATCAACAGGTTTGCAATCTTATGACCCACGAGGGTGAAGTGGCAACTCAATACATACCTGAAGCAAGGAAATTAGCCCACTGGTAATAGTGGTGCTGTTCTTTTCCATTTTAACCCATTCAGATGCTCAAGAACATCATGGTTTGGGTATATTAAATTGTTCTTCCTAAGAGAAAGTAGTTAAACTTCTTAAGGTTGTTCTCAGAGTGACTGAATTTTATTTTCCCAAGGAGATAGCTCCTTTTGATTTTACTTATTGTTACGGTTTCACTGTGTCCCCACCCAAATCTCATCTTGAATTGTAACTCCCAGAATTCCCACGTGTCATGGGAGAAACCCGGTAGGAGGATTGAATTATGGGGGCAGGTCTTTCCTGTGCTGTTATTGTGATCGTGAATGAGTTTCATGAGGTCTGGTGATTTTAGAAATGGGAGTTTCCTTGCACAAGCTCTCTCGTTGCCTGCTGCCATCCATGTAGGTTGTGACTTGCTCCTCCTTGGCTTCCACCATGATTGTGAGTTCTCCCCAGCCATGTGGAACTGTAAGTCCAATAAACCTCTTTCTTTCGTAAATTGCCCAGTCTTGGGTATGTCTTTATCAGCAGCATAAAAACAGACTAATACAGAAAATTGGTTCCAGTAGAGTGGGGCACTGCTGAAAAGATACTTAAAAGTGTGGACATTACTTTGGAACTGGGTAACAGACAGAGGTTGGAAAAGTTTGGATGGCTCAGAAGACAGGAAAATGTGGGAAAGTTTGGAACTTCCTAGAGACTCATTGAATGGCTTTGCCCAAAATTCTGATAGCAATGTGGACAGTAAAGTCCAGGCTGTGGTCTCAGATGGAGATGAGGAACTTGTTGGAAACTGGAGCAAAGGTGACTCTTCTTATGTTTTAGTAAAGAGACTGGTGGCATTTTGTCCCTGCCCTAGAGATATATGGAAGTTCAGACTTGAGGCAGGTGATTTAAGGTATCTGGCGGAAGAAATTTCCAAGCAACAAAGCATTCAGGAGATGACTTGGGTGCTATTAAAGGCATTCAGTTTTATAAGGGAAGCAAAGGATAAAAGTTCAAAAAATTTGCCACCTGACAATGTGATAGAAAAGAAAATCCCATTTTCTGAGGAGAAATCCATAAGTAACAAGGAGCCAAATGTTAATCCTCAGGACAATGGGGAAAATGTCTCCAGGGCATGTCAGAAGTCGTCATGGCAGCGCCTCCCATCACAGGCCCAGAGACCCAGGAGGGAAAAAATGGTTGCGTGGTCCAGGCCGCGTCCCCATGCTGTGTGCAGTCCGGGGATTTGGTGCCCTGAGTCCCAGCCACTCCAGCCGTGACTAAAAGGTGCCAAGGTGTACTGCTTGGGCTATTGCTTCAGAGGGTGGAAGCCCCAAGTCTTCGCAGCATCTGCAGGGTGTGGAGCTTAGGGGTGCACAGAAGTCAAGAATTGAGGTGTGGGAATCTCGCCTAGATTTTAGAGGATGTATGGAAACACCTGGATGTCCAGGCAAAAATTTGCTGCAGGGGTGGGCCCTTATGAAAACCTCTGCTAGGGCAATGCAGAAGGGAAATGTGGGGTCAGAGCCCCCACAGGGGAACTGCCTAGTGGAGCTGTGAGAAGGCCACTGTCCTCCAAACCCCAGAATGGTAGATCCACTGATAGCTTGCACCGTGTACTTGGAAAAGCTGCACTCAACACTAGCCTGTGAAAGCAGTCAGGAGGGAGGCTGTACCCTGCAAAGCCACAGGGGTCGAGCTGCCTAAGACTATGGGAACCCACCGTTTGCATCTGCATGACCTGGATGCGAGACCTGGAATCAAAGGAGATCATTTTGGAGCTTTAAGATTTGACTGCCCTGCCTGATTTCAGACTTGCGTGGGGCCTGTAGCCCTTTTGTTTTGGCCAGTTTGTCCCATTTGGAATGGCTATATTTACTCAGTGCCTATACCCCCATTGTATCTAGGAAGGAACTAGCTTGATTTTGATTTTACAGGCTCATAGGCAGAAGGGACTTGGCTTGTCTCAGATAAGACCTTGGACTGTGGACTTTTGAGTTAACGCTAAAATGAGTTAAGACTTTGGGGGACTATAGGGAAGGCATGATTGGTTTTGAAATGTGAGGAAATGAGGTTTGGGAGGGACCAGCTGCAGAATGATATGGTTTAGCT